CACACACACACACACACACACAGTTGTTTTAAGTGCATAGTCACTGTGTGGTCCTATGCACCATCATGTAAATGGGGGAAATGAAACCTTGGAGCCTGCCCAATATTTTCCAACAGAAAATGGCAGGATGCATTTAGGGCCCTGATTTAACTGAGAACTTGTGAGGAACAGGAATACAGGCCTAGAAACATACATTTCTCTAAACTTGAATGTTAACTGTCTGAATAAGAATGCTTTCTCTAGGCAGAGGTGGGACAGGTGGAGCGAAACAGGCTTGCTGTTGTTCAGTCTTAACCAATTCATCCCAAACCATCATTCAGACACAGGATGGAAATTCAGGGGGTAGGGAGGTCTCATGAAGAAACCTGTTATTTCATCAAAATCCAGCTATGGATATGTTCCAGTTACTCTTGCAGTTATTTCTGGGACTGAAAAGAAGAGAAGCCAGATTTTGTTTTCTTTTAAACACTGACCCTCTCATTCCAGGATAAAACCCTTGGGATTGGGAAGTGCCACGGCCAAGACAGGGTAGGGAGCCACCTTATCTGTCTTTAGAGGCATAGAAATTACACTGGCCACTTGGTGGCACCAGATGACCAAAGATGAAAACTCAGAGATCTATCCCCGCCCGCCCCAGGGTTAACTAGGAGTAGGCTGGGTGCATAGGTACTTGTGAGGTGGTAGGAAGACACTGTACACAATCTATGTAATCTCTGACAACCTCTTGGGGCTCTTTGCCTACAGAAGACCCTGTATTCTGTATCTGCTCTCTCTACACTTTAACTTGTACATATATTTTTTCCCCTCTGTGTAAGCTCATGTTGGTCTAAGTGTGGTGAGATTTAGCTTCAAAGGGATGCTGGGTGTTTCCAGCCCCTGGTGTATTAGAAGGCCTGTACTTTCTGGCCATCATGCCTTTGGTGATGCTGAACTGACTCTGCATCCTGGGGTGTCAGTGTGATCCCTCCACCAATGTTCACCTGATGTTCTTAATATTTGATGACCCATTGCCTCATTGCAAAATGGTGACTTTTCTAATTGCATCATTCATTTTACACTATACTAGCTAAAGTTCTTCTATGAAGAACTTTACTTTTTCAACTTCACAACTGCCTGAAATACAATCTGCAGGAAAGGCAGGACAACTCTTGGCTCCTTGGCTCCTTCTTTTGAGCCAGTGCCAGAAAAGTTCCTGATACCGTCATACCTCCCAATAGTAAACAATAAGGTTTTTTCTTCTTTTTTTTAAATAAAAGATTGCTATAAACACACTGGTTACTTTGAAGTTGATTGATTGAGACAGGGTCTCATGTAACTCAGGCTCACTGTGTAGCCAAGGATGACCCTGGACTTTTGATCTTCTCTCCCTCCATCTTCAGAGTGCTGGGATGCTAGGTGTATGCCACCATATCCAGTTTTCTATGGTAGATTGAACCCAGGGCTTTGTGCATGCCAGACAAGTATTCTCCCAACTGAGCTTCAAACATAGTTATTTTGAATATGTTTTATTTGATTTCACCCATAAGAGTCTTTATTTTTTGTTTCATCTTGGGCTATCAAGAATCTCTCCAGATTAGCTCCTTGGCTCACTGGACAGGAGCCCCTCCATCTCTGAAAACTTCCTTGCCTTCTTGCACAGTGAGAATTCCCAAGTTTCTGTTGCATGTTTCCCAGCTCAGATTTGAGATCTGCCCCTTTTTCCCAGGCCCTGCTTCCTTCCTTTTAATGTGAAACAGCTTCAGAGATGACAGTTTGGCTGCAGTGGAGTGGTCATGACTACTAGTTGGCTATTATCGCTTCTAGACCACTTCTGGATGTGACTAGAAAATGTGTTTTATTTTTAAGAGAATATGGAACGACTCATTCACTGATACTTTCAACTTAAGGAAAGACAAAATTTTTATTCCTCTTCTTTTTCACACTGTTTTCCGTTCGGCTGAAAAATTTGACTTTTAATGATCTTAACAAATTTCCTTACTGCTTTCCTCCTCCTCTTTCCGCGTTTCCCACGGGTTACATACTCTAAACTTTGTTCTATTCATTTTTTCTTTTAAAATCAAGATTACCACCAAAAAAATTAAAAAACCTCCTAAGTACAATTCGATATATTTCTTTTGGTTGTTATTCTCAAACTGTATCACAGATATAGAGTCTAAAGTTATCTGGATGTATAGTTAAGTCATTTACAATTATTCCTTTCTTTGTATAATTATGTAAACAGCCTGATAAGACGTTTTGAGTTTCATTTTGTTTTGTTTTTGTGGTTGTTGAGATGATCATTTTCTTGAGATGGGGGTCTCACTAGGTAGTCCAGGCTAGCCTCAAACTCATAGTGAACCTCCTGCCTCTGCCTCCCCAGTACTAGGTTACAAGCATATGCCATCATGCCTGGCTTAAAATTAGGCTTTTTTTTTTTTCTAGTTGTAGAGATTGTTTTACTTCCCCTTTTTTGTGTAAAAAAGTTACATAGTTCCAAAGACAAAGTTGTAAATGTCAGTGCCTTTGACCCTGTTTCCCCATCTAGTTCTTTCCTTCCCCCTTGAGTTAACCATTCCCATGTATTTTCCACTTACCATCTTATTTTAAAAAATATAAGCAGGCACACATATATGCTCCCATATGTTCCATCTCCTCTTGTCAAACACAGATGACATACCATAGACACTACTCTATCCTATTGGTTCTGCTTGCACTTAGTGTCATCTGGCAAGCCTTGGCCAGTGTAGACTCCTCACCCCTCAGTCACCTGCCCAATCCTCCATCAGATGGTGCCCTGTAGCTCATTCAATTCAACACCTGCAGAAGGACACATGGATTGTTTGCCATCATGTTGATAGTGCTATAATGAATGACTTTGTGTATGTTGCCTTTTCAGTGTGTCTTTTCAGAGGTCTCTTTCTGCTACCTGGACTCCTGGTTACACCTGGAGTGGAATGTACTTGACCAGCAGTTATGGTTTCCAGGGGGTAGCCCAAGCTGTTGACTGTGGAAAGAAAATCCAGATGTTTGTATGACCTTCGTGTTAAGAGCTGTTGTTGGTGTGTGTGCCCTGGATTGATTCCTTTTGAGTGCTTGGGGGAACATGCCCTTCTAGAAGCCATGGACTCCCACTTGCAAGTTTGCTACTGTAGGATTGATCTGGTGGTCTAGCTCAGTGGAAGAGCATGTGACTGGCATGCACACAAAAAGCAGTATTAGTAACTCACACTTTGATCTCCAGTGGAACAAGGCCACACCTCAGAGTCCCCTGTGCCCCATTGAAGACAGGATGCCCAAGGAGGACAGGGTGGGGCTGGTGTGCACAAGATGTCCCTGTGGAGTCAGAGGCGGCTTTCCTTCCTTCACCATTGGTCTCGGTCATCTCCTTCCACCTATTATTCAAGCTGTTAGGAAAATCTGACAACTAATTCCCACATCCTCTGAGAGCATTTTATGAGTGTCCTGTGGGTTCAGTTCCAAATCAGATCCTAGGGCTCATAGCTGGCCATCCATGCTCCAAGTCATAAGCACAAAGGTAGCTTGTGCCTATTCCAGGTCATAAAAATAGGGTGCGTCCCTGCAGATTTGTAGTTCTTGTTTCAAATGAACTATAGATGTGCGGACCATCTTAGGAAGGTGCTGTTGTTAGGCCAGAACTTCAGCTGCTATGCAAACAAACAGCCTCTAGCTTAGGTGGGGCAGCACCTTACCCACAGTCCACAGCCTTGCCCTCCCAGAACCTCCAAGACAGATCTGTACAGAACCAGCCCTTCCTCTCTACAGGTTTGCTGTCTTGGACCTCACACCTCATTAAACTTTGGTTTTTCCACTATTCAAAAGATTCTCTTCAGCCTTCAGACCTCTTAGGAAAATGCCCTTCTGGAGAGCGCTCCAACTAGTGGCCTGTGGTATTTGACAGTGATGGGGTCAAACAAGCAACTTCAAACTAAGTGTGGTGGAGGATGCATGGTAGGACATGCCACTAATGCACCCCCTTTCTCACTCTGAGTCCCTAGGGTCATTGAGAGATGGAGGTGGGCAGAAGCTCACAGTGGCTCTTTTGTCCTAGGGAGTCCAGGGGCACACTGGGCAGCCGGGCCCTCTCACACGACAGTATTTTCTTTCCTGAATCGGGACAGGACCCTGCTCGACCCGTGCGAGTGTTTTCTCAAGAAAATGTGTGTGACCGGATTAAGGCTTTGCAGGTAAGCCTTTGCTTGGCAATATTGCTTAACATATCTGTCTGTCAGATGTTCATCCAGAAGTTCTGAGTGACTTCAGCTTGGTGGTTTGATATATTTAAAAGTAGATTCACAGACTCTTCGCAGTCTTCCCAAGACATGCAAGTTAGTTTTACACCTGGACACTGACTCACTGTAAATGACTGCCTAATGAACTTAAATAAGGGGGACCGCAGTGAGGAAGCTGGTGACAGCCACTCATTGAGGTCAGTGCTCTGTACCACGCAAGGGCACTGAAGATATTTCCTGAATGAATGAATCAAAACAGGAAGATTTTGTTGTTAGGTTCCGCCGATGAACTACTAAGGGCAGATGTTCCCTATTCCAATCTAGATGAAAATCCAGTGTAATGTGAAAATGGGGCCACCACCTCCGGGGGGCCTTCCTATCAAGCGGGCAGAGGACACCGGCATGAGCTCTGAAGACGATGGGCTACCCCGGAGCCCCCCAGAGATGTCTCTGATGCACGACGTAGGTCCCAGCACAACCATCAAGGCAAGTGCAGTCTATGCCAGTGAATGTTTCCATTCACACCCACCAGTAAGCATAGCTGGATCTCTGCCCCCACCATAAACTCCCCAAGATTTCCATGAATGAGAGAAACTGTGCACTGTGTGCCTGCTCCCGTCACTTGAAGCCATAGCTAGCTCTTAGGCTATATTTATTTTCATTCTTAGAGAAGAAATTCAGGTCTGATTAGGAGATGTGGTTTGGGTGACATTTTGTGTGGTTGTGTGGTTGGTCTGATACCATCAGGCTCCAAGCCTTGTCTTTCCTGTCTGAGCAGATGCCCAGATCCAGAATCCCACTGAAAAGAAGGAACTTGAAGGGACCTTTTTGTCTCCTCTGTTGCCATGACATTGGCCAGAGTATGAAGTGAACAGCAAACACTTAATCAGCTTCACACCCAAGTCATGACCATAAGAACCTTTGATTTAGGCAAGTAGTTTGAAGCCTGTTTCTGGGAAACAGAGAAGCCCAGAAAGTTTGACCAGCAGAGTTTGACCTCACTGGAGGAAGTGATCTGAAATCCTGCCTTCCCATAGATTCCAAGTGGCCTGAGCACTGAGTTCTTTCTCGTGCATGGACATTTATGCATGCCCATGATAATATTTTTGGTGTAATACCCATAAAGTATATTGATACATAAATGATAAAACAGGCAGACATTTTCTCCACATTAATAAGCCTTGTTGTGGGTAGATGGAGCTGGAATTATCTAAGTTAAGTGATACTTGAAAAACAAATCAGGAACAGAGTTTAAGTTTGATAGCCATGCACCACACCTGCCTTGGACATCCTTGGATCCCATTTACCCCTGGCCTGGCTGAGGATTAGGGAGGGGAAAGCAGGTCTGCTCATAGTGAAGTTGTAGAATTGGAACTTCTGTGTTGCTCTGAATTATATTTGGTAACCACTCAACTTGGGTACAAGAAGTTCTGCTAATTATTTTGTATAGGTTTGGGCTCTCAGATATTCCTGATGGAAAGTCAGGACTATGAAATGGCCAAGTTTAAGTCAGCTACAGGTTGGAGGGTCCCATGGAGCTGGCTAGAGAATCACTGTCCAGAATTTGGCTTTAGAGTGAGCATGCCCCTACACACAGCAAGAGTGGACTATGCACACCTGCTCTCCGGCCTCAAGAAGGACTAAATGGGGCTGGAGAGATGGCTCAGTCATTAAAAGCACTGGCTACTGTTGCAAAGAATCTGGGTTCAGTTCTAGCACCTGCATGGTGACTAACAACTGTCCACAACTCCAGTTATAGAAGACCTGACACCCTCTTCTGGCCTCTGCAGGCATTGCATGACCTGGGTACTCTTACATCCATGCAGGTAAAACACTCATATACATAATTTTTTTTTAAAAAAAAAAAAGGGGGCTAAAAATACTGGGCATAGTGGAATGCGCCTTTAATCCCAGCCCTTGAGCAACAGAGGCAGGTGGATCTCTGTGAGATTGAGGCCAGCCTGGTACACATAAGTAACTTCCAGGCAGGCTGGGACAAAACGACTAAAGGGTAAGATAAGGATAGTCTGTCCTGTTGCCAGGCTATGGAGTTAAAAACTGCACCTGTTAGCACCTTAAACTACTCCCACGAACAGTTTCATTGTCCCTTTTCCAGAAGCAGATGTAACTGAGTAGGTCTCAGGCCATGTGGTGGAGGCAGCTGTTAGAAGCTGCCTCCTGACTCAGTTGACTGAGTCCTACCTCCTCCATCTAAGGAGTCTCTGATTCTTGAAGCATCCTAGTTCTCTGCAGTAGACTGAATAGGCAGAAGAGAGAAACATTCTTTCTAGCTTCATTCATTAAAGAGGGAGCTCAACTCCAAACCTGCTCTGAACTGCAATGCAAAAATTCTGACTAGCCAAGTGGGGGGGTCACTCATGTTGGGCCAGTGCTGACTTAGTCTTTTATTCCTGTGGTTATTGCTCTATCCTTTTTTTTTTAAGTTCTGAGGTTCTCTGAGTTATTAATATGTACATCCTACTAGCATCATAGGAAACCAAAATTTGGGCCTTTAGGATATTTAAAAGTTAGATAAACTTTTCCATAAGATCCATTATTCCATTTTGTGCACAGAGAGCTTTTGGGCAGTTGGCTGACTTAGAGGAAGGACAATTGTGCTCTCTAAGAATGTATTTTTGTAACACAGGGTATTTGGCATAGTGGTGCCTTTAATCCCAAGAGGATGCAGTTGCTTAATTTTATCCTGTTTGACACCTACCCCAGGCTCACATGCTTGATAGAAACTTAAGATTGTTATTTTTTTAGTAGAAAATAGTTGAAGCTAGCTAAGGAAATAGTTTGTGACAGAATAAGTTTTTCAGGAAATAGGTGAACTACTTTTGAAATTGATTGCTACATGAGTCAATAACTGATAAAACTTCACTTGGTGACTGTGGTTAAGATCAGATGTCTAGGGCTGGGGTGTAGCTCAGTGGTATAGTGCTTGCCTAACATGTACAAGGCTGTCCTAGGTTCAATCCTTAGTACTTAAAAAAATTATATACCTAGGCTAGGCATGGTGGTGCACGCTTTTAATCCCAGCACTCAGGAGGCAGAGGCAGGTGGATCTCTGTGAGTTCAAGGCCAGCCTGGTCTACATAGTGAGTTCCAGGCCACCTGGGACTACAGGGAACCCTGTCTCAAAAAAATGAAAGAAAATTATATAACTGGCCATATTTTAGGTTTTCTGCTATTGAAATATTATACAGGTTTGTTATCTCTTGGAATCTGGGTTCTCAGAGGGCTTGGGGAAGACTGAGAGACGTCACATACATTGGTGTCTCCCCTTCCCAGCAGTGCTGGCACTTTCCTCTTCACCTGTTGCCTGCCATGACCCTACTAACCCTGTCCCCTGTCTGGTGGCCATTCCCTTTCTCACTGCCCTCAGCCTATATCTCAGTGACCAAGCCCCCCCCCCCCGCCCCACCCTTTGGGGACAAACATTGGAAAACGGGTATCACCCAAGGTCATCCTGAAAGAAATTAAAGCCATTTCCTCAGGGCCCTTTTAGCCACATTTCTTACAACAAAAAGGCTACATATTAAATCGCCGTCTTCCAGAATCATCTAGAAGCATAGACTTCAGAACATTTGAGTGACTGGACACATGTAAAGCAGGTGTAGATGTTCTCTGGATGCCGCCAGCCCATCCACAAAAGATGTAAGCCAGCTTTCCTGCCCCATCCTTTCCCCAGAAGTCCGGCCTTTCTGTGTAATGACTAGTCAGAGGTAGAATTCAGTCCTGGCTGTCAAGACGTTGGTCTCTCCAGGCCCCAAGGACCTGCAGAACAGCAGTGGAGATAGGAGTGAGCTCTGAGGCCAGAGGAGATCAACTGTGACATCAGTGTTGGACTCGCTCACTGAGAGGTCAGGGAAGTTAAGCTCCTTGTTACCACCTGCCAAGGGACCAGAGTGGACCAGAGTGGGCCAGAGTCCAACACCGTCCATGCAGGCAGTACAAATGAAGGAAACCCATGTGGAAGAGGGACAGGGGCTACTTAACCTTTTGAGCTTTTGAAGTATTGGGTTAAAGACAGTTGCTGAAGGCCCCTGGTGTCACAGGTGATGCAATCTCTCATGGGTAGAGTCACCGCATTTGCAAAACAACTCATCTTGTCTGTCCCAGGCACTGAGAAAAAAAAGAAGCTGTTTTAGCACTGGTGAGATGGCTCAGCAGGTAAAGCACTTGCTATGCAAGCCTGACAATCTGGGTTCCACCCATAGAACCCATGTAAAAGGTAGTGGAGGAGAACTGACTTCCAAAAGTTGTTCTCTGATCTCCACAAGTGTGCCTGTGCACTCGTGCCCACACACACACGGAATAATACATAAAAATAATTTTAAAATTTGACTCGAGTTTCTATACATGACTCCTTTAGGCAAGGACAAAATTAAAGATTCTGTGTGATTTTGAAATATGTACATCCTGTTTGTGGCTCTTGAGGAGATTATCTTGGGACGGTAGCATTTGCTGATCTCAAGCACTTCCTAAGCCACCAGCTGCGCTCACAGAAGCCAAAGCTGCAGGTCCAGGTGTAATGAGGGCTGGGGGTCCTGAGCTTTATACAGTTGTAGCCAGGACTGGGGGTCCTGAACTTTGTACAGGTATAGCCAGGACTAGGGGTCCTGAGCTTTGTACAGGTGTAGCCAGGACTGGGGGTCCTGAGCTTTATTTAAATCATTTTCTTGCTTTATCTCCATAACTACCTGAGTAGTTGAGAGAAATCAGAATAGATCACATCTACTTCCTAACATTTCTCCCTCATTTTTTGAAGTGTCTCTACTCAGTGAGTGCAAATAAACATTATGTTTTGAATAATAAATATTAGGGACCTTTATGTGAACAGGAAAAATAAGTTGTCTGAACTCATTCCTTTGCAGGGCAGTCCCTATATCTGAGCCTCTCTCCCAATAATGCCACCCAGTTTAGTGAATGCCACTGTTTACCTGCTCTGTGTGGGAGCCCTGGGGTTATTAAAACTAAACCATACAAGATTTGTCCACGGCACTGGGACCTTGCAGTTGGGGGAGGGGGCAGCACTGGCACCTGTGGACTGCCGCTTTCTTGAAGAGATTGTTGTCATGAAGCCTTACTAAATCACTGTGTGGTAAATGAAATTATGTGCTTGGATTAAAATGTAAATTCAACACTAATATTTGTATAGTGCTCTGGTAGAAATATCATTTGTTTGTTTGCTTGCTTGTTTACATTGAGACCACACTCCATCAAGGGGCTCACTAGTTAGCCAGACAGGTATCTTAGGGTGTTCTCATTCCTCCACATGGCTGCCAGAGGCCTCTCCTCCCTGGAAGGCATTTGCTCTGCGACTGTCAGCTCCTCCCTACTGAGGTGAAAACTAACATGTCTGTAATTCACCAGATGGTAGCTTAAAGCCAGAATTCCACGAGGCTGTAGAGACCCTTTAGAATGAACAAAGAAAGCATCAGATAGAGTTCTGAGGGGAGGCCTTGGTGCCTCCTGTGCCCTGGCCCATGAAATCTCACTGTGGACCATGCTTTCTGCTTCCAGAAAGAAATGGGTGCCTCTGTCCTGGGAAACATTGGGTTAGTCTGTTTCACTGGTGGAAGTAGCTATGGAGAGGGGAGGGCCATCTTCCTGTGGAGCCCAGTCAGAGCCAGGCTAGAGGCTGAGACAGGCCAGCTTGAGCCTGATCTACTTAGCAAATTCCAGGTCAGCTAGGGATACAGGGAGACCTTGGAGCTGGGCGGGCGGTGGGGGGGGGGTGTTGAGGAGAGGAGAAAGGGATCACATGCCTTGGGTTTGGCCAAACACTTTGAACTTCTAGTCATTTACTCTAAAGGAATATGCTAGAATGTTCCCTGTCAAGAACCAATTGAAGATAATCTCCCCAGGTCCAGTCCAACAATAGTACAAGAAGCACAGGGAGAGGAGAGTTGGTGGGTGTGCTGTTCCCATCTCTTCTCACAAAATTAACATTTGGTATGCTTGTTCCTTGTCTCATGAAGATCTCTTTAGTATCCTCATCTCGATCACAGTCTCCTGACCACACAAGCGATGTTACCATCTCCTCTCGGTCCTTGGATGGCAACCTGGCACCTGTGGCTGACTTCAGCCACCCTCCGGAATTCTCCTCCTGCCTGGACAACTCTGCAGCTAAGCACAAGCTCTTGGTTAAACCACGAAGGCAGCGGTCAACTACAATGAGGCGACTGTCTTCGGTAACTTGCCTTCCTTCTCTGTATAGGGGTGGGATGGGCAGGTGTGTGACAGTCACTGCCCCCTTGCTTCCCACACTGCTTAGCCACATGGATAAGATCACACTGCAGAAGCTTCAGTTGCTCAAATTTGTAGTATAAATCTGGTGTCTCTTCCTTGCGTAAACACTTGGCTCACACATTCATTTTTGCATGCATTTGTTCATCCTGTAAACATAAGATTCCACTATGTCCTATGCCAGGCCTGACACCCTCTGGCACCAGTCTCTTATCCTGATGGAACTTAGATGGAACTCACTGGAGAAGGTGAGGGGCAGGGTATGGGGCCAGCCTGGCCACAGAGAATGTAAGCACTAAGACAGATAACATCTTCCCTATGCTTCCCTAAAGACATTATTACCTGTTGTTGAGGATTTCAGGGCAAGCTAGGGGCTTCAGCTGGAGTGAGTTTTCTCTTTGGCATGTGAGATGTGCTTTATAAACTTTGGCCAAAGGGGTTTGGCTTTACTGGAAATACTGCCAGAGGAAGATTCGGTTGGTTACCTTCAGACTGATGTGTCACTTAGGAGCCAAGACACTTGTGTCCATTCTGTGTGTCCAATGGATTGATAGAGTTGCGTGCTGTGTGGACTTAGTGGTAGCCAGGAACCCCAAACCTGCCAGAGTTCCTGTGGAATGGAGCCATAAGACCAGGGCCAGGCCCCTTCTGCGTACAAATCTCTGCCTGGCTCCTGCTAAGTGTCTTTTGCTCTGGCAGGGGGCATGTGTAACCAGCCCCAGCCTCGCCCTACAGCATTTGATGATTCATACTCCAAATAGAAAGTAGTGTCCCAGGGGCTGGAGAGATGGCTCAGCAGTTAAGAACACTGGTTGTTCTTGAAGAAGGCCCGGGTTTGAATCCCAGCACCCACGCAGCAGCTAACGACTGTCCGTAACTCCAGTTCCAGGAGATCTGACAGCCTCTTCTGTCCTCCGTGGGCATTGCACGACATGGGTGCACTTACCTACATTCAGGCAATATATGCTTACACATAAAATAAAAATAGTAAAATAAATTATTCTAAAAAAAGAAAGTAGTGTCCCTTCTCACTCCCTCTCCCCCACCCCACCTCCACCCCTAGCATGGCTACAGCCCTCTGTCTTTAGTTTTGAACTTGACTTCATTCTTGAATATCATTTTGTAGAATAACAACCCAAAAAAAAACCTGATGTCAGTCAGTCTCCATGTTCATTCTTTAGTTTAAACTCCAATGGCTCATCTCCCTTTTCCCCTTCCCTGCTTGGTAGAGAGTAGACATGACTAAAGTTCCCAGCAATATCTACATTCCCCCAGTGGTGACTACTGTTGCTCCATTCACTTTGGGGCCTATGTTGGAGGCATCTGTCCATCAGTACCCACAGCCCCTTCGCCCTTGGTGTTGAGGACCCTCTTCCCACAAGGTCCTTCCTTATGTCCTGTTTCCTTTCTGAGATGAAGATACTTCTCAATGCCGTCTTCCTTCTCCATGGGTGCAAAGGGCCATGAGCTGCCCCTTCAGCTGCCTTCTAACTACAGGGTACTGCCATGAAGGCCTGCCAATTCTTTGGGTTCCATTAGACAGCAAGGTCCTACTTTCCCCCTTTCTTCTGATCCCCTATAGCTTCTGGGCTCAGGCCGGCCCTCCCTTCCTCCCTCTCTCTCTCATCCTCAGAGCATTCATAGCCGTCCATTCCTATCCATGCTCCTGCTATTCTTGCCTAGCCAGGCAGTCTCAGCTGTGTCACCAGAGTGTAAACTCTGCACCATGACACTGAGGTGCTGAATCTTTTTCAGGCTCAAAAATAAACCAAAATAAAAAAAAAAAAACAGAGTAATAGTGAGGGGATGACTCAGTGGCTAAAGTTCTTGTCCGTATGAGTGTGAGGAAGATCCCCAAAACTCATGTCAATGCTGTGTAGGCATGGTATCTACCCAGTAATTCTAGTCTCAGAAAGGTGGAGATGGGAGCCTCAGAGCAAGCTAGTAAACTAGCCGTATCAGAGAATCCTGGGTTTGATTGAGACAGCCTGCCTCAGTGAATGAGGTAGAAGAGCAATCAGGGATGATTCCAGACACCAACCCTGGGCCTCCACATGCATGTACACCCACCCTTGTGTGCCTCCACACATACAAACATGCATATACACACATGTACACCATACACATAAAAATGGAAAAAATAATCAAACAAAGAAAAAGTAAAAAAGGGTTCTTATACAAAATCCTGTCTTACACAGTGAAACCTTGGCTATCCAAGCTTTATTACAAACTTGAAGCACATTTGGGTGTATGAAGCCCGTCTGCCCCCACCACAGCAGAGATTGGGAAAGATAACTGTTGGTTATGATGTCAGCATTTTACTCTCCTGCACAGAGCCACACTCTATGGTTCAAGACACAGTGGAATCATAATGCCCATAAAGGTTTATGTTCAAGAGCTCACTACACCAGTTGGTTCTTAGCCCAGGCCAGACAGTGCCAGGAATAGTGAATACTGTCAAATCCATTTTAACAGGAGCAGTACAACTGCTGAGGTCTGGTGGCTGATGAGCTGCCAAATGCACGACCCAGAGCTCAGACAGAGACTGACATCTCCTCTCTGCCCCTGGTGTTGCTCATAGGTTGGTGGTGATTGCACACTGAACGATGGGTTTTCGTTCCAGCAAAGTAATATGGATGCACTGCTGGCCACAAATGCATCTACATCTTGGTACAGCAGGTTCCCTCATTTCTGCTTCCAGGATGCCAAAACCACTGTGACACCCCCGAGGATGAGAGGATAGGGAGGCTGTGGAGATGGAATGGGCATGGTATACCCTGGCAGTGAGAGACCTTGCCCCCCTCCCTGTTGCTGCTGACCAGAGAGTCTGGGCCAGACAGAAGCAGCTTTTCTCTCCTCAGCACTCCATTCAGCATCTGAGCCTCTGGAGGGCACACTGCATGCCAGCCTTTGTCCTGCCTTGTCCCCTCACAGTTACCTCCTATATAGTGGGCAGATGGGAGGTGTCATGGCAAGATCTGCTCCCCAACTTTATGCTGAGTTGGCCTGGGTCCTGTGACTGATGGTTTCAAATTATGACCAACATCCTTAAGAGCCCTCAACATCAACAGTTTCCTCTAATAGCAAAAGGCCAGTGACATGGTCATCAAGAACCTGCAGCTTTGGAAAATTCTTATATAGATTTCTTTGTATAATTTCTTTTGAAATACAATAGAAGATTAAGCATTTTTGGCAAAAAAAAAAAAAAGATTAGCTTAGGGGTCACAAACACCCCAGTGATCTCTTACCCAGCAAGTGCCAGCTGGAAAGGCTAAAATGCTGAGGATGTAGTCCAAGGAGAGATCACTTGCCTAGCCTGCACAAGGCCCTGGATTTGATCCCCAGCATCACAAAAATAAAGATACCACAGCAGCAACAAGAACAAAATCTAACATGCCCAAGTGTCACATTTTCCTGCTTTAGAAAACAGAAGGACAGAACAAAACAGCCGGAGTGACTGATTCTGAAGGTCTGATGTCATAAACATTTTTAAATAATCAACCTCAGGACCCTCAACCTTTGGATTATTTTCACATATTTCTTTTATTGGACTTGTATCTACCTTGATTTCCATTTTCTTCCTAAGAGGAGGCATTACAGACGGTAAGGAGGAAGCCAGATTAGAACCTGAATCCCAGAGACCTTTCAGAAAGAAATGTCACAAGGCAACGTAGGGGTGGCATGTGCTTTAGAAAGCCAGAGAAGGGAGAATCATAAACTCAAGCAAGTTTATCTACAGGAGGCAAAGATTGAGGCAGTCTTCAAGGCCACGGGTGGTGTCCCTGAGGTGCAGAGCAAGAGGCGTAAATCAGGCCCAGCATCTGGCACAACAGTAACCCTGGTTTGACTTGAGACTGGGTGAAATAGTGTAAGACCAGAGAATATAAGACTTTAAATTTAGCTGAGGTTTTTAGATTTTATTCTATAATCTCTGATTAGTAATTCACCATGATACAAATGACCTTTTAGGAAAACCATCTGGCTTTGCTATGAGAATGTATCATTGGAGAGTAGAGTCATGGGACCCTACATTGCAGCACAGGACTGGAGAATAGCTGCTGTTCATCGTGGCTGCCTCTTAGCCATCAGTTAGCTCAGCCTTGGCCAGGGTGTCCATGCCTCTGAACTCCTGACTGTCCCAATGCAGAGAGACAGTGGCAGTTTCTCACTTGGATGAATCCAGGGTTAAATGAAATAAGTCTAAAGCACAAAGCATGGCTGATGGTTGCCCTGGGTTGGTCCAGTCCCTCTGCTTCACTCCGTAGAGCAGCACCCACTTGTTTTGTGGCTTGAACACATGAGCTGTGTTTATTTTGAGGGCATAACTGCCATGGTTCTGCTGAATTTATGAGCCAAGGTTCGAAGTGGACCAATAAAAGAGATCTGAAGACATCAGTGTGTGGTATCTACATCAGTGTCAGCTTTAGAGAGCTACTGCATTTTCTAAACCATAGTAAGCCTTAGAGGAAGCAAGGAAGTCATAGGCTGCCTAATATTTGCTGCACTGATGGTGTCTCTTGCCTTTATTTCTCCTAGAGGGCACAGTCTGAATCGCTGAGCGATCTGACATGCACCCCAGAGGAAGAAGAAAATGAAAAGAAGCCATTGCCCCAAGTCAGCACAGGAGAGAACACCAGCTCTGGGCAGCAGGATTTGATGCTGGACAGACAGCCTGAGACTGGGGGACCTGCCACCTTGCTGCCCCCTGGAGGGGCCCGTGCCAGACGAGCCCGCCTACAGCACAGCCCAGCACTCAGTGCCAGCATGGAAGAGGGGGCCTCCCCTGGAGATGAGCCCTCAAGTCGCCCAGCCACACCAGATGTCACTGAGTCCAGGGCAGTCTCAGCCCCTCACTTGGAGTCCTCACCTCTGCCAGAAGGGTCCCCATACCACGTACCCCACAGTGAAGTCCAGAAGGAAGAGCTGTCCATCCCATATCTCCAGGTAGAGGGTACAGCTGAGGAGGTTTGTATTTCTGGAGATGTGGAAACTCCATTATCTACTGATGTCCCCGAGAGGCACATGGCACCTTCCCAAGAGGACACAGCACCTTCTGAGGAGGACATAGTACCTTCCAAAGAGGACATCATGCCTCCCAAGAGAGACATGACACCTCCCAGGGAGGACACACCACCTCCCAAGATGGACATGGCACCTCCCAAAGAGGACACAACACCTCCCAAGATGGACATGGCACCTCCCAAAGAGGACACAACATCTCCCAGGATGGACATGGCACCTCCCAGGGAGGACACAACACCTCCCAAGATGGACATGGCACCTCCCAAAGAGGACACAACATCTCCCAGGATGGACATGGCACCTCCCAGGGAGGACACAACACCTCCCAAGATGGACATGGCACCTCCCAAAGAGGACACACTTCCCAAGATGGACATGGCACCTCCCAGGGAGGACACACCACCTCTCAAGATGGACATGGCACCTCCCAAAGGGGACACACCACCTCTCAAGGGGGATATGGTACCTCCCAGGGAGGACACAACACCTCCCAAGATGGACATAGCATCTCATGAGGGGGACACAACATCTCCCAAAATGGATACACCACCTCCAAGGAGGGACACGGCATCTCCTGAGACTGTCACTGTCACCACGTTGGAGACAACCTCAGATCCAGAGGGACAGGACCAAAATTTCCAGAAGGAGGAGGAGCTGACCCTGGTGGTGCCCAGGCCTGAGGGAGCAGGGACAGAGTCCTCCACTGCTCTGGCACGGAGTCCTCCAGGGCCCAAGAGCTGCCTGAAGCACAGGGCCGCAACCGTGGACACTGCCCCTGGTGCGGCCCCTGTGGAGTCGCCTCAGGGGGAGCCCAGCCCTGGTGCCCAGGGCAGAGCTGCGGTGCCCTCGCTGCGCCCCAGACCTGCCCATGCTTCGGCGCAGCATGGGGGTCCTGAGAGGGCTGCCCTGGGGCGGAAGAGCGACCGGGGAAGCGAGCAGCGCAGCGTCAAGAAGTTCTCAGTGACCTCGTGCAGGGCGCGCTCCCGTGGAGGCAGCTCCCGGCCTCTGGAACATTCTGGGCGTGCACCTGCGGTGGGTCGTATGCCCCTGCTGAAGAGTGGCCCGGCCTGGAAAAGCGAAGCCGCTCTCGATGACCTCCAGGTGCTGCCAGAGCCCCAGGACCAGAAGGCAGAAGGCAACCCTCGGGACTCAGGGGACATGGGGACTAGCCAGGCAGGACCAGGCAGGAGCCCCCAGAATGTGGAGCCAGGGGCTGCTGTGCAGGAACCAGCCCCAGAGGAGGACCTCAACCCCTTCCCAGTCAAGCTGCGGTCCACCTCGCTCTCACTCAAGTATAGGGATGGTGCTGCACAGGAGGCCAAAGCCGTCAAGAGGTACAGTGCCGAAGTCAGGCTGGAGAGGGGCAGCCTGGCTCTGCTCCCCAAGGATGAGCAGAGTCTCGTCGGGGCTACCCCCATCCTGAGAGGCGCCAGGTCTCCCAACGGGCAAGGAAAAGGGAAGGCCAGGTCTCCTGAACAACCCGGCGCCAAACCACCCCTGCCCAGGAAGCCACTTCTGCAGAGCCTCACCCTCCAGTACCCACCTGTGGGCCTGGACGCCAGTCCCGGAGAGCCTGAGAAGGTCATCCCAGTCATCTTACCCCCTGAGCCCAGGAAGGAGAAGTCACCACACCGGGCAGCTGGTAAGAGCCTTGTAGGATAGGGTATGAGAATAGGTGGGCTGGGGGAAACTCAGATTCACTGGAATGTGTCGTGGGATGTCCACAAAACTTGTAAAACCAACTGACCAAACACTCCAGATACCAACCTTGGTACAAGCAAAATTAAAAGAAAATTTATGAGCTAGGGCCTGAAGATGTCACTCTTGCATAGTAGGTGCAAGACCCTGGGTTCAAGCCTCAGCAGAGGAAAAAAATGATGAAATGTGTTAAAAATAGTCGGTTTGGAGAGAGGGTTTAGCAGGTGAGATCACTTGATCTCGCAGAAAACCTGGGTTCAGCTTCCACACCCACATGTGGTGACTCACAACCATCTGTAACTCCAGTGTGAGGGCATCTAATGCCTTCTTCTAGTCTCAGTAGACACCTGAACTCACAAATGCACATAATAAGCACGTATGTGCGCACGTGCACACACACACACACACACACACACACACACACACACACACACACACACACACACACACAGAATTGTTTTTTAAAAGAGGACCACAATAGAGGATAGATATAAGAATTTTGTGTAAGTCGAGTACATTATTGGAGACACAAGAAGATTGGCATTCCTTCCTGTTCCCTAAGGGAGGTTCTGTTAGGATGGGGGCAATATTTAAGAACTTTTAAAAGCAGTCATTTTTAAAATGAACAAAGACAAAGTAGATGATTTTTCCCTCTCTTTGACTTATTTAGGAAGTTTCGGATCAAAAGAAATTACTAAAAGTGGGTGTTTGCAGCACAGATAAAGAAACATTCATTGCTAGTTTATGTTATTAATGGAAAACAAAACTATACAACCGGATCACATGTGTGTGTGATAGAGGCCCTAGAGAAAACTTTTCCATGGCAAATTTTATTTTTAAATGTTCCAGGCTATTTTTAAGTAGCTCCTAAAAGACTAGGAGTCCACTTAAATACTACACTGTGGGACAGAGAGGAGCTCAGACTTGGTGGCTCTTTTGGGGAATCCTGAAGCCTAAAAGAAAGATGCAGATGCAAGAAAAATGCATTATGGGAAGCCACATAAGCACAAGTCCAAACGTGCTAATCTTTTCTCTCTCCATATAGAAAGTTAATAACCATGCAGTGCATATGGCGCTTTGAGTTCCTAGTTGATTCTAAAGGATGCAGGCAGTTGCAAAGAGCCTTAGGGGATGACTTTCTTGGTCCCTGAGCCCCTTGACTCAGTCATGAATTTTTGCTGCCGTAGCTTCCTCCTAGAATAATCAACGAGGGAGCTTGAGGGGAGGGTCAAGTCCTGGCTGATGATTTGCTCTGCGTATTTTCAGAGCATTATTGGAGCAGCTATAGAGCAATTCAGAAAGCCGTTATAATAGCAAGGACAGTTGCTCTGTGTCGATGAAACCCTGACATCAGCACCATCTCCCTCTATGGCCTGGAACTAGAAATGTCTCTCAGGGGCCTACTGAAATGAGCAGAACTCAAAAACAGGATACTTGGAGTCCTTGTTAGAGCCAGAAGAGAAACTTCAGGGGCCATGCATAACCCTGAATTACTGTGACCTCCTCAACACTATAAACTATCCAGGATGGGCAGAGACAGGAGGATTATGGGTTGGAAGCCAGCCTGAGCTAAATTAGTGAGATCCAGTCTCATAAGTAAGTAAATATAAATAAATAAATAATAAATAGATAAATAATAAATAAATAAATAAATAAAGCAAGCCCAGGATGATGTGTAGTGAACCTACTGTTTTGTTTTGCTTTTAGTTTTATAAAAAAAAGGTGACCCAATATTTACTTATTGAGGACTTTGCTTAAGGAACCAAGAGTTGCCTTTTGGATTGATGTATAGTTTTCTCCGCCACAGAAATAATAGTCAACTGAATTCCCAAGTGAATGAATTTAGGTTCCTTTTATGGGACCGGGTAATGATTTTTATTTTACTGCAAAGGGGAGAGAAGAAAAATGGACCACATTCAGTTCTGAAGCCACCTTCCCGGAGGGAAATTATGAAAAACAATTGCCAGGACCAACCATGGGTGCTGCCTGGTCCCTTCCCCTTCAACCCCACTTTGGGGGTCTGTGGGCTGCCTCAGGCAGATCAGAGCAGATCTCAGGTCTCTGTTGTGCTCCATCTGTGAAGCAGCCTCCATACCTTCCCCATAAACTGGTCTGTTTGTGGTTTAATTCATTAGTATTACTTCTCATCCTGGCTGTTCCCAAATTATAGCAGCTGGAGACAATTTAATTCATATAAAACCTATAGATAATGAAAGTTTTAATAACAGTGTTCATCTGTTTTTTACAAAGAATCAATTCTTGCTATTTATTATCTTGTGGCAGCAAGTACTTTGCCCAGAGTTCCCAGATGGGCTGCTGTCTACCCCATCCTCCTCCAGGGCATACACACCATAAAGTGAGATCATTGAAGTGTCCCAGATGGGTGCACAGTTCTACATTCTGCTCCAGTGGTTCCAGCTGTTTTGTCCCCAGTGTTGCTGCTTTCTTGCACTTTGGCACTCTGTGTTCCCTTTGAAGTCATAGAGAAACCTTTCAGGAGAGGGAGTTGGGAAGTATGCAGTGGTTGTTGCAATAAACACAGGAGTCCCAGTTTGTCAAAGGGGCTGGGTATCCCAGGCCCACCATGAAGTGGCTACCACAAGCCCAGTACTCTTCTGTGCTTCTCACCACAAAGGAGGCTTGTTTGTAGACCTGGGCCATACTTTGCTGATCTGTCATCAAGGGAAAATGGTCCAGGGTTAGTTGACTTACTCATTTTCCAGGACATTATCCATCTTCATGCCAGACCAATCCATCCCAAAGTCTAAATTACGGGTGAAGAAGCAGCTTCCTTGCATACATGGTGTGAATTAAGACAGTGGACGTAGTATCTGGTTGAAAGCATATGGAAAAAGTCCAGAGCTGCCAGGCCTAGGGGTACATGCTGGGAATTCCATCTACTCAGGAGGCTGAGGCAGGCAGGAGGCAGATTTGAAGCCAGTCTCAACAACTTAGCAAGACCCTGTGTCAAAGTAAAAATTTTTTAAAGGGGCTGAGAATATATCCCAGTAGCAGAGAGCTTACCTAGCGTACACAAATTCAATCCATTATGCCTAGCTCAATTCTTTTGGAGGCATACCCACATGTATCTTGAACATTTTAGGAAAACTAACCTTACTTACACCTGTGTTCCTTTTTAGTCTTATCCATCCCTTCTCAGTCCTTTCCTGAGTGAATGCTGTCAACCCTCTGGCATCTGTTTCCCAGCCTTTTCTGTGCTTCTCAATTGTTGTGATGCCTCAGAAACTGGGACATGTCGCTGTGGAGGAACACAGTTCAGACTGAAACCTCTTACTTCCCTCATCAGTGGGTGCCTCCCAGCCCAGGGACCTCTCTTTGGTGCCCCTGGCACTAGATAATGAAACAGATCAGTAGTCACCAAGGGTAGCTGAAGGGTCTGTCTACAAAAAAGTCGGAAAAGTGAATTCCTTAGGGCATTGACTATCCTATATTGTATTTGTGGCAGTTTTCCGAAGCTAAGCATGTGTCAGAGCTCATAGAACTCGGCAACAAAGAAAGGAAATTCTACTCTGTGTAAGTTTTAAGATAATTTTTAAGTACACAAGAAAGACATAGCAGCCTCCTCCCTACCCCTTTCTGAATGTCTCTAATCCCACCCCACAGAGAGACCCACCACAAAGGGACTCATGTCCACTGCGCACACTGCAGTCTGTCCATGACATACCAATATAGGTACATGAATGCTTTATTATTACAAAATGCTTTCCATATCAGTTTACCATTTGATATGTGCAGTCCACAATCAAGCAAGGGCATCTTTCCTGATTGGTATGAGTGACTTGATCTCATTCTTTTTGTTGTTGTTGTTGTTCTTTTTGAGACAGGGTCTCCCTGTAGCTCCAGCTGCCTGAACTCACTCTGTAGACCAGGCTGGCCTTGAACTCACAGAGGATCCCCCTAGCTCTGCCTCCTGAGTGCTAGGATTAAAGGCATGCACCACCAGGCTGGCAGTCTCATTCTTTGAAGTGTGGTCTAGGTCTAGTATGTGTACCACATTTTATCTAACCATTCCCTGCTGAAGGGTACTGTGTTTGTTTTGAGTCTTTTCCCTCCTGGTCCCCATGCTGTGGTCACCATTCTGGCCCATTTCACTGGTGCATCACACTGTGGTCTCTCCAGGACTGATTCCTAAAAGTGGACTCCAGTTCATAGGCTATTTGAGATTTTAGAAGGCGACTCCAGATTTCTCTCCATGACAGTGCGTTGATCTTTGTGTCCTCCCACACAGTGGAGTCTGGTGTCCCCTACTTCGTTCTCCAACACCCTCCTCAGCTTTAGGTGAGGTCAGTTAGTCTATGCCCCACCCATACCTGATCTGGTGGAAGAAAAATGTCAGTCATGTTGCACAACATGGTCAGTGAGTTTTGACCATCTGGATAAGAAGCGCTCTTACCCGCCCCCATCCCCACACCAACACCCACCTTGTCATTGTTTTCACAGTCCTGGGAGTTGAATCCAAGGCTTAGCACATGCTAGGCAAGTGCTCTACCACTGAGCTATATATCCCCAGCACAATATTCCCCTTCTTTAACCTGACCTTCCTCCAACTCTCTCCCCACATCTAGCTGTGGAATGTTCCTCTTTAAAGATTTTTCCATGTCTTTCCATCATGTATGGAGTAGGGTTGAAATGCCTGGGTAAGGCACTTAAGGTATTTTAGATTCTGTCCAGAGCCAACAATTCTGTGCTCTGAGTTCATTTGCTTTTCCCCAGGCCCCTGTCTCTTTCCTGAGTCTGTCATACCTCTGTTGTATGGAACACATATCAGCCTGGCCTGTAACTGAGCTCCCTGAGGACAGGGTTTGAGTAACCCTGTATGGGACTCCTGGCTTCAGAGACCCATCTTCAGGCTGTGTGTGTCTATATCTGTGTCCAGATAAAGGGGTAAGGAAAAAACTTAGAAACACGTATTTAGAGGTTTTT